TGCACTGGCAAAATGATAAAAGCATCGAACAAGGCAGAATGACAGCCAACGGAGAGAGCGCATACCACCGTTACCTTGTCTGACGGAGCAACACCCTAGAACTTTTAACAGCTAAAAATAGGACAAAAACTCTAAATTAAACTGGCTTATATAGGGTCCCGACTACATTTACAAGCTTAAACGGTATCTATGGTCAAAAACTAAATATCAATCTGTATGTCTGTCCTGACAGGGTCGTTCACAAAAGGGTGAAGAGTTTGGAGAAGGCAGGAGATGTGAACAATCTAGGACAACATAGCTGAACTGGAAAGTGAGCTGAATTGGAGAATTTTCTTTCCAAATCATCTATTTTGGCCTAGATTGTTCACTTCTCCGGCCTTCTCCAAACCCTTCACACTTTTGTGAATAGTCCTATGAATTTCCATAGGTTTAATCTTACTCCTAACCATATCGATCTAGGTACTTATTGAAGATGCTCATAGGATGAACTTCCTCCAGTAACACAATATCACTCTATTGAGCTTGGAACGGTGGATACTACAACACACACAGGGACCATGGGGGAAGAAAAATAGCCACCCTACAGAAGGAAGGACAGTGTCAGCACCAATTCAGAGATGATTTGAGGATCTACAGCCGAGTGATACACAAATAAGATACATTTTTGTTAATAGTTAGGGAACTTGAATGCATTTCTAAGATTTAACTCCAGAGTTTAGTGTCACTTTAATGTGTCCATGTGCTCTTACTATGAACTGGAGTTAGTCCCCTTTCGCACAGGCTTGATGGATCCCTTCCTGATCAGAGCAGTACGGATCGGATGTGACTGCTGTGACATCCTTGTCCATCCAGTTTTTTCCTCCATCTTGCGATTGAGCAAAGAACTAAAACTACTGCACCCCATGTCGGTCTATGGGGAGTAGGAAGTAAACAGACATATGTCTGTTTACATCAGATTACCGCTAATCCAGCAGGATCAGACCCTGTGAAAAAGAACTCTGTTCCATTTGTTTTTCCGGGCCTGGCCAGAGTCAGGGGTAACCGGATGTAAATGGACGCCCATCCATTTAGACCCTAGACTAGCATTGAGCATCCAATCGGGTCCGCCTGAAAAACTCGCAGGCGGGCCCAATCGGACCACCAGTGTGAAAGGGGCCTTGCTTCTCAGTCACCAATTAGCATAAGGCTTGCTCTGAAAGGCAGAATCTGACTGGTAACTGTGGGGAAATAATGCAATTTCTAAGTAAGAATGCATTTCATAGATGAAACTCTAAGTAGTTAGAAGACCTATTTGAGTGAATATAAACAAAATTGATTGTTTAGGTCGGTCCTTGTGCACAATACAGTCCTTGGTAAATCTAAAGGAGATTGTACAGAGACGGTACCAATTATTTTATATATATATATAATCTTCAATAAGGTGAGTGGCCAACTTTGCAGACCTTAGCACTTCTCTTTCGGTGGACCTCCATCTATTTCACTACCTTACTTTAAGCCCTAATATACTGGAATAAACTGCTTTAAAAGATGCCATATAATGAAAGAAGTAATGCTATAAAAAGCTGGTGATAATGCAATTATTCTTGGGACAGGTTCAGTGGAGAAGTAATCTGAGACCAGGTTGGCATTATCATGTCCCCCCAGGGGGTGGGCTCATGACAGCCTGGTTTAAGAACAATCTAGGCCCAAAATCAGCCCAATACAGTAATGCACCTCAAATGGAACTGCAGCCCTAATAAATGCCCCATACTGGGTGTATGGCCACGTGGCCAAATACTGACGGACCTAATGCTGTATCCCTAAAGCAGAGCTAGGCAAACTCTGTTGCCTCTGCGGTGAAACTACAAATACCTTCATGCATCTGCCCCTGAGAGTCATGCCTGTGGCTGTCAGAGACTTGCAATGCCTAATGGTATTTGTAGTTTCACCACAGCTGGAGGGCCAGAGTTTGCCTATCCCTGTGATCAAGTATTTCTGCACATAGTTTACTTCTTAATATCATGAGTTGTATTTCTGTTTATCCAGTTAAGAGAATTACAAAGCCCTGCCATACAGCAGAGCCAGAAGGACTTTCTTTGTTACGGTTAAAGACGATAGGAAGGACACATGTTCTCTCTCCACACCAGTCGGCTAACTGGACAGTGAATGGGCAGCAGAAGTCTAATGAGGGCATCCCTATGCTCACTCTATCAGCATGTTCCTTGTCAACACCAGACTATCTCCCTGTCCTGCCCTCCCTTTCCCAGTCTGATTGCTGCTGTTTAGGGAATTGCAAGGGGCTGATACCAGGTCAATTTTTTATGACCTATATTGCACTGTTTATTTTCATCACCAGGAAATTCACAAAATATACTCCAAATTGTTTATTTCAGAAATCATACACTATATGTTCTTGACATATTAAAGAATTAATAAGTGTTTATTTCAGAACCAATGGCAAACCCTGCTGAACAGAGACAAGTGAGAGGGAAATCTAATTGTGCAGGTGTGATAAACAATGCATTAGTCAGAGTATGCTGCAGGGGAGGTTAGTACTCAGTTAACACCTAATCAAAAGACAAAGTGAAAGAAAGGCTAACATGCTTCAATATATGATTTCATTTCACACGCTGCGGGCTCAGTCTCACAGTGATTAACAAAGACGTTTTGTACTGTTGTGTTAATTCACTTCCCAAATAAAATACCTACTTTGAATGCAGTAGCAGAAGAAATCAACCATACTGCTGATTTCCATTTAAAGCACCTCCCTGGTGAAAATAACGTTTAACGTGAATGTGCCATGGTTTGCATTTCTAAAATGAAACTGTTGCTTTAAGTGCATCTAAAGACAAAACTTCGAGCCCTAGACCGTGTTGTGGGAGTGATGCAACAAGAAAGACTTTTTCTAACTGGAAGTTTCTTAACTGCTAGCGAAGGATAAGCCTTCCCAGTCTGTCGCTAGACTTTGTTGGCTTAGGAAAATGGGTGCTCCAACTACCAATATCACACTTAATAATGATATCCAGAGTGGCCCTCAAAGGCATGTGGAGCGGACACTTTTAGATGCTGATTTCTCAATCTTAAACTTCAAAATGTCCTCTGCATGTGTAAGGACAAAAGACCCATGTGGTACATGAGCCAAGACACCTCCAGCAGCCCATCACAACTGTAGCTTAAAGCCACAACCATTTGCTACAAAGATCCTATGATCAAAGTGCAAGCTTCCTTTTAAAGGATATTGATCAATCAGCCAAAGTTTGGCAAAGCAAAGTCATGGGTAAGATGGGATGAAGAGCAGGGTCTGCCAATGAGAACAGAGCTCTGGAGAGGGCTTCCAACCATTTATCAGTTGGTTCATTATAATCGGTGCATCCTTCCCCGGTATGATGATCAATTTGTTAAGGCGGGACAGGACACTGCTGGAACGACAGTGGGGGCAGACCAGTTTTTAAAAAATGTCTCTTCAATCAGATACAAGACTTGGGGTAGTAAAAATCTTCTCAATGTGTTTCCATTCCCAATAAAGGAACACTTGGAACAGCAGGTGCACCAGGAAAGACTTTGCAGTCTTAGGGGCTCTAAAGGACCCCGGACTAGGAAAAGCCCTGGTAGAAGCAACAGACTGATTCTGATAACTTAAAATTGGTGTGCACCACACCAATACGAGTCAAAACAGTCTCTTCATTTGGAAGTAATGGCAGAAGACTACAACTCCTCGGAGGCATGTTCACCCAGCAAGGACTGGAGTGCCTATGAACCAGTCTCATTGGCTAAAGGTTAAAAAGCCACGGGCAGATCAGATACAGAATCTGCAGGGGAAGGCGCGGGGGTGATGTGGTCATGCATGACCATAGTAAAGAACTCAGCCAAGAAGGCAAAGTCGCCGGCCACACCCGATAGATCTAAGGAAGACTCGGAAGATAGAATAGATTCTAGGATCAGGGGGACATATGATTCCAGGATGCAGACATTGGCCACATCAGTGGGCACACTGCAAGCAGCACCAGAGCTGTTAGCAAAGCGTGAGCTGGGGGCACCCAACACAGTGGGACTGTACACAATCACATGGTGAAAAGATGTCCTTCCTTCTAGGACACTAGCAAACAATTGAAGGATGTTGGTAGTAAGAGGTGTTATCCTGGGATGGGCTTACAGTTTTTTTTGTGTGCCAGTGTCCAATCCGTCTAAAGGCAGCAGTATGACGCTAAGGTGAAAGACATCCTGTGTCCCTTAATGGGCAAGAAAGACATTATTGTTACTGTTATTCAGCTAGATCATTGATGTCCAAACTCCGGCCCTCCAGCTGTGGTGAAACTACAAATCCCATGAAGCATCTCCGGGAGTCATGTCTGTGGCTATGAGAATCTTGCAAAGCCTCATGGGATTCGTAGATCCACCACAGCTGGAGGGCCGCAGTTTGGACATGCCTGAGTTAGATTGCTTGTTTATTTCATTAGATGTTGTGTATATTTATATTTAGAAAATATACAGTATATATAAAACTTGCCACACTCCATCAAGCTAGGGTGGAGCTTGACAACACAAACGGATACTGCAATGTGGATGTAGTATTAAGATAGGAGAGAGTGGAGGAATACCCGGGTGAAAGATTTTACACAGTGAGATTGTGCAAAAGATTTTGTGCACCTCATGAAATGTTAGTGTGCTGCTTATTAATAAATAATATGAACGGTTTTACACTGTATATTGTGTATTGTCTTCTTTCTGAGGAGTAATCCATAGACACCAGCAATCAACTTGGGAAGAAAGCATAAGAGACCATACTAATATACAGTATGTTAGATATGTTCCAGAAGCAAAGAGGAGCAACAGTGCACGTGAAGGTATCAAACAGTGAAGTTTGTTGCTACAGAAGAAGTTCACCTAACAAAAATTACATTGTGTACATCTGCAAGTTAGAGGTGTGGGGGAGAACATGGTTTTAAAAAATTCTGGCACTAGACCCACATTTTACTTGAGCCCCATGCATCTTATGTCAAACTAATGTCAAACCAACTGACCATTTGATGAGTAGCTGACCCCAACATCCTAATATCTTCTCTGGACATTCTTTGGAAACGTCACCGGAGCCACTCCAGAGTTCACTGTCACTTTCTACAAAAGAAGTTAATATTATGTTATATAAACAATATTATATGTATTTAATAAAATGTAATTAATTGTGACCCATAACTTTACAAACTTAATTCTTATAGCTTTAACACCAGGATAAGGATTTTTATTTTTAGCCAGTATTTTTCACATCTCATTGGCTGAAAATAACTGTCTCATTTTGGAAAATATGGATCCTTCTAGTGTGTTAACTTTGTGAATGAGCCATTTTTGCCTTCCCTGATGCCATCATATGATCTGGGGGACTCGTAAAATATAAATAAAATTAAAATAGGCCTGTATAAATGTGAAATCTGGTTAAATTTAATTAAAAAGATGCTAAGCTCGTCCTGACCACTACAAGTGGATAGTTAGAAAAGTTATGGGAAACAACATCATTGTCACACAGAAGTTCACCATTTACTGTACAACCGCTCTATAATATTCTTTAGATTTACTTCACCACAACTTTGTCGCTGATTCATAAAGCAGTAATATGGACATGGCATGGTATTTAAAGTTAGACAAAAAAGAAGAGTCCAGAAATCTGCTTTCACTGGTCAGGTCCCATGACCAGCTCTCTAGGATTCAAGGTTTTCTCTCTGCTGTGTTACGCAGGCAGAACACAGGAGAGCAACGCAGGCTCCACAACTCAGCCAGCATTCAGTAAATGGGCCAAGGTGTGAATAATCTAATGAAATCTAGTCTAGAGTATAATCTAATCTAAAGAGTATGGAGAGCAGATAGCAATATATGTGCAGGGATCCCAACCTGAAAGAATCAATTTCAGGGAGGATTTCTCTCCCGGGCGACCCGGGAGCCGCTATCTAATAGCGGGAGACTCCCGGAGCGTCCGGGAGAGTTGGGATGTCTGTATGTGTGATAAATTACTTGCCTTCCTCCGCCTCCTCCTCTTCCTGTGGGGACGTGACTCCACCTGTGCTTCCTGGGCTGGTAGGAGCCTCAACAATTTCCGACTGCCGCTGCAAGCTCAAAACTTCGTAGATTGAATCACCAGCTCCTTTACTCCCAGACTATAGAAATTAAGAGAAAATGAATTGCTTTAAATGGTAGTATGAAATATATTTAAAAAAAGAAGATAAATACTTACAAGAATATAAGAACTATGGCTTAAACAATGCTGTATATTGACTAATAGAAGAGATATTTAGATCAGTAATTATAACCTATTAATAATTTTGTCTCTACAACTGGATAGGCTGCCAATATGTAAATTTGTGACAGTGACTTTATTTTCTATCTTCAGGGGGAATAAAACACCACACTACAAGGGTTATGGGCCCTGCATGGAATGTGATAATATCAGCAGGCCTCCAACCGTGGGAGCAGAGTAAGGAAGAGCTTACGGACTCCAGTCTTAGAGCCATTGGAAGTGGGGATCAGGTAAGTGAACGTTTTTTGCATAGGTCATCTAGACATTAATGAGAAGTTAACCCAGAGATAGTGTTTAAGAAACTGAACAAACAAGCAAGGCTAAAACAAGGAGACATAGGTACATTGGACATATATAAACAAACAGACACCTTACAATAAGCAGACAGAATTCTTCTGACAAGTTTCTATTAAGACCCAATCATGCCATTCAGAAGGACTGGGAACACTAAAGGTCTGGCAGTAATATCAATTCCTCAAAACACTCTCTCTTTTCAAAGCCAAAGGCTTGTTATTCTTTATTAATATATAGCGACACCATACAGATACAGCCAGCGTACCTTTCTTATATTTTATACACACACAATGTATACTACATACCGAGCAGTAAAAAGATACCTTTCCTATTATGTTAGTGTTAACATAAGAGCTGTAAAGCAGGTTGCCAATAATAATTGAAGCCTTTGTACAGGAAAAAACCTGCAGATCAATTGATATGTTAAAGCAGATTCCCTCCACATTAGCAGTTGATCTGTAGCTGCCAACTGTGCTAGTTTGATGGGTTAGTAGAAAAAGGAGGACAAGATCACATCAAAGGTGAAGAATAGGAGACAATGTGCTACACTCTATACAATAGGGTGAGAAAGACACTTTAAAGCTTCACATACCTGTTTCAGCTTTAAATAGAAGGTCTCTGTGAAGGTTTTGCGGCTGAAATACCAGAATCGCTCGTTGGTGGGGTACACGCGGACCACTGTCTCTAGCAGGAACCGGACTGGCTCTACCACTTCCGTTACCACCATGTCTATAGCGACTGTCATGTGCACTCGTTTATCTGGGGCAAGGGTAATAATGGAGAATCACTATCAATGATGCAAGGGTATGTATGTATGTATGTATGTATGTATGTATGTATGTATGTATGTATGTATAATGAACTTCTTCTATTTGCTACCTTTTAGTCTGTTAAATATACAATTGAAAACCTTTTTTTTTAATCTGTTTGATAAGTGCACAAAAAGCGCACTCTCCATCATTCTCTCAAGCAATGTTATCAGCCATGCCACTCTCTGTGAACAGCAGCAGTAGGAATAGGGACGGAGAGGTGTTCTGTTGTCCTAAAACACTTCCTATCAGACTTACAACACTGCTGCTCTGCAGATACAGCACAGTGAGTAAGTAATGTCACCATAGGAGAGGATATCTGTTATCTTTTGTAAAATAACCAGGTGGAAATACAGGGAAAAAGCTTGAAAAAAGAAACCTAACGCAGCCTCCACATCTAAGGTCTAGTAAACTGCACTCTGCAATATGTGGGTTTAGATATACCCTAATTACTATATTAAACCCCAACAACGGCATCAGTTTATCATCGGTAACATATTTTCATTCTGATGATCTAATTTTTTGTCATTGCCTAAATCAGCGGTAGGCAACTTTGGCACTTCAGCTGTTGTGAAACTACCAGTTTTATGAATTACAAGACTCCAACAGCCACAGGTATGGCTCCCAGAGACTAGAAGTATGACATTTGTAGTTTCACCACCGCTGGAGTGCCAATGTTGCCTAATCCTGGTCTAAAAACTAAGATATGCCCATGGTTTTCCTGGTTGCACAAATCTTTACAACTGTAAATTAAATAGAACATGCTCTGGCAGCCTTGCCACTAATAGAAGATAACCAGTCACAGGCAGCCAAAAATGTGAGATGGTCATGGTTAAAGTGGATCTATTCCCAACATTTTTGAATGAATACTGATAATTCACAGGATATGCATTAAGTGGAGATGTCTACAAAGGAATCTCCCCTGCAATCTTGCCTCCTTTGCAGACATCTTCATTTAATGCATATACTGTGAAAAAAACAATATTCATTTTGTTTGAGTCCAAACGCTCTTGAAGAGAACAAAGTATCATTTTACCGAAGCCCTGATAAAGGGGGATTTTGAGGACCCCTAAAATGCGTTGGCTGTCTTTTATATTGATCCTTTTATATAAACCATTGTTCTGGACTATCAAATTGTGGAGGCGAAACCTTCTGTTTGGTGTTTTTGCTTTCAGTCATTGAAAAATTACACATCCTCAACAGGGAATGTTAGGCTACATTCACAGTATGCGTAAATGTGCAATTAGGGATTCGTGCAGCCGGAATCCCAAATCTCCCGTTTAGATGCGGTTTGGAATAGATCACTGTCCCTGGATGCATCTGCCAAGCGGCCAGGAAAAGTGATCTATTCCAAACCGAATGTTATTCAATCACATATGATTATATGAGGACTGCCACTTACAGATGCGGCCACTGTTACCCAGTCATTAACTAAACGGGAGATGTGGGATTCCTGCCACAGGAACCCCAAATCGCACATTCACACATATTGTGAATGAAGCCTTAAAGGAGAACTATGGGGTCAGTGTTTTTCCCCATAGTTCTCCTTAGGGTAACGGGAGGACACAAACTAGCGGCCTCCCGTTACCCTAAGCTCAGTATACCGCGAGCTACAGCTCGCGGTATACTGAGACGGCGCAGCCGGAGCGGATCCCGACATGGACGTCGAGATCCGCCCAGCTGCGTGAGTGACAGCTGGCTCTGCCTATCTAGAGGCAGAGCCAGCTATACCCGCCCCCTCCCCCATCCGTTCTGCCAGTCAGCGCTGGCAGATCGGAGCGGGTAAAGGGGAATCCAGCACCTTCCCCTGTCACGGCAGAGAGCCGTGACAGTATCGAGAGGTGAGGGAACCCGGTATGTGTTCGCTCACCTCCCGATCTACTGAGCCGACCTGTGACAGTCTCATTGTCACAGGTCGGCTAGAACTATGAGGTGAGTGAAAACCACTCACCTCATAGTTCTCCTTTAACTAAACGGGAGATGTGGGATTCCTGCCGCGGGAACCCCAAATCGCACATTCACACATATTGTGAATGAAGCCTTAAGCTGGCCATACACTGTAATATTTTCTGCGCTGAATAAAGAAAATATAACAGATTCCTGATTTAATGCTTAACAGCGTTGATCGAGGAATCTCCTGCTGTCTTCACTGCTGATGGCACTGTCAGAATACCCGAACAGAGCTGCAGCTCATTGGCTGCCCACTCTGTTTGTTTGAAGATTTTCTGGCAGGCTCCTTCAATCAGCTGATCGAGGGATGCCGGCCGAAAGGGTGCCGACAGCAGCACCCACTGTGCCAATTTCAGTCGGTTCATCAAGAACCAGCCGAAATTTGCATTGTGTATGGCCACCTTAAGGGCCTTGTTCAAACAAGAGACTACTTGTTTGAAGAGACAGCTCACTAGAGGATGTTAGAACCTCATTGGATTTCTGTCAGATCAACAGCCTTTTTTTGTGCTTTTTGTTCTGTTTTGTACTGTTTTGTACTACAGTTTTAAGAAACCACATAAAAAGGATTTATAAAATTTGTTATATAAGCCAGGCAAATACTTTAGTAGAAATCCCCAATGGATATAGGAACAGAGACTTCCACTTTACACTCCATGAAAATCTAAATCTCTGGGATAAGGGCATGCACTAAATCAATCTGCAGCACCACCAAAGCAAGTGTGAAGTCATTCAATACATGTTAGCAAAACATTTCTGAAGGTGTAAGCGCTTCCTTATGTCGTTCATAAATGTTTGTCTGTAAATACTGTTCAGTACCAGGTATTACAAGTAACACTTAGTGCATGTAAATCACTGGGAGCCTCCAGAGAGAAGCATTAAACATGAAGATTGTATTGAGTTTATTCCACAAATACACAAGCCCCGCTCTCCATGTTCTATCTTCTGTAATGTGGAATCGTACCTTTAGGAGTTTCCTCGTTGAGTGCTTGAAATGCAGAAACATTTGGGTTCCACATCCCTGTGATCACATATGCTTTACCGTCACTGCTCTTCCCCATGGACTCCTACAAAGACGCAGAGTAGAAAATTGCATTGTTAACATGAACGGGAAAAGGTATAAAAAGCTGCAAAAGCACACAGAATATATTCACAGGAAACACTAGAAAATGTATAAACAAATGTCACTGTTATCCTTTTGCCAATTTAAAACATCCGCAACTTAAAGTGATATTAAAGTCAAAAGGTTTTTAAGATTTTTCAAATGCTGATGAAATCACTTACAATGGATGCTGCCCCTTGATGTTTAAAAGTATTAGTTTCCTGTAGAATCAGCTGGTCCCCCGAGCACTGGCCCTGATATCCTGTTTTAGGGTGGCTCCTTTCCCTTGCAGGGACCTATGGAGACACCCTTGTGTGTGCTAGTAAGCTGTGTGCGTCTCCACAAACACACAGAAAGGACACAAGCACAAGCACTTCCCTGCTCTCCCTTCTCTAGGCTGGTAGAAGGAGGGCTGCTGGAGACTGCTCTATCCCTTGTGATCTTGCACTGGACCGGAAGTTCAGGGAAGCTGAGCTGAGAGAGATGGAGCCGGATGTTTTGGAACATGATGACTGTAAGTGATTGAGCAAAACTGTAAATAAATGCTTTGCTGATATGTATGTTTGATCTTGATTTACTTTGAAAAAAAAGGTTGAGAGTTTAACACTATTTTAAAGTGTATCTAAAAACAAAAAAGGAATGCCTACCAGTCCTTAAAGGAAAACTATGAGGCGAGTTATTTCCAAAGAAGCTGTCACAAGTCGGCTCTATTAATCGGGAAGTGAGTGAACACATACTGTCGCTTGGTCACTTTCCGATCATCTCCCTGCAGAGAGAGGTGACTGTCAGTCACTGCCCCCCGCAGGGATTGCCCCCTCCGATCCTCCAGCGCTGAGTAGAGGAACAGACAAAGGAGGGGGTGGGCACAGCTAAATCTGCCTCTAAATAGGCAGAGTCAGCTGTCACTCAGGCAGCTGGGTGGATCCAGACAGTATTGTGGTGATCAGTCCCGGCTGCGGTGCTCTCAGTATATCGCAGGCAATAGCTCGCTATATACCAAGTTTTGGGTCACGGGAGGAGGTTAGTATATGTCCTCCCATGACCCTAAAGAAAACTATGGGGGAAAACACTTACCTCATAGTTCTCTTTTAAATAAGGAAGCTGCATTCTTTTTTAAAAAGTTTTTTCCCCTTTATTGTCACCTAGGGATCCGGCAAAAAACACTTCCTGTCCCTGGGTGGCTACACTCAATCCTCCACTACATCCACAGGAGGGAGCTATGGTTGCAACCCAGACTGTATTACAAACAGGTCTGCCTTTGTTCATCTCCTTTACACGGGGTTTGGGAGATGAAGCTTGCATGCCCCTTCCTGCCTCCTGCACATTCTTAATGGTCATTGAGACTCCCCATTACAGAGATGGGTCAATAAGAATATGTATGGCTGGAGCATTGTAAAAACACTATCCAAAAGTGTCAGATTGGACCAGCATTCAGACATGACAAGAAGGTTTGAGCGGCTGCTAATGGTATGTGCAGGGACCTTTAGGTGCAGCAGACTAGCAGCAGTTTGACCCCCTTTCCCTCAGTCTTTTTACTTTAAGGAAAACTCTTTAAAAAGGAAATTCTCAGGGACCCAAACACCTGACTTGCTTCCTTACATGCTGCTTAACATGATTATATGAGATGATGTTTTTCCTGCTATGTTCTTCCACTAGAGAGCTGAAGGGAACTCCGTGTGCCTATTTGTGTCACTTGCATGTAGTGCCTTGTGCATTATTTATGTATATTGGCTTGAGCCTGCTGGTTATGTGTAGGTCGTTGGCCCACTTGTATTTTTGTGTTTGACCTGATTGCTGTTACAACTTTAATCAGGGGATTGCTCCCCCTTTCTTAGGTGTCACACTGAGGTCTTTGTTTTTTCTTTTCTTATT